TTATTTTCCATGGCGCAGTTTCGTAGATATAGGGATTCCCTCTTTCCTCCTCCTTTCCCCCCCTCCCCATTCCCCCCCATATTACTACAGTAGTATAGTCTAACAAATCAAATTCTCAGTAACAAATTAAGTAACTAAAATATTTGGAAATCTTGATGCTAAAAATATGACTAAATTATCATTAGGATAAGTAAGTCTTCAAGTCTTCTATTCCAGCTTTCCACCTGTGAACGGCAAGAGTACATGCAAATCACCACAGATACAGTGCAAATAAGTTTTTAAGATGCAATTGAACCCAAGACTATTGATGAAGTTTCATTCATTCATCACATCAAATATGTATTTGCTAAGTAAATCTGTGTACCAGGGACTGTTTCTTAGTCTTTAAACCCCAGGATAACTTACTCTTCAGTGGGTTTTTTTCCCCCTCCTTTTCTATGAACCTGAAAATGAAACACACAAATTAAGGAAAATAAAGGAGCTACTTACCTAGCATCCATGTGATGTTTTCTAACAGGAATACAAAACATTTTATCCAGTTGAACACGAGTCATATAGTTAGTTACCTACCTTTTGCCTTCAAATAAAAGATTGTGGTACAACACAAAAGATGGGTTTATTACACATGTAGGTTGAGAATGCTCTGACGCGGTGGTTCCAAAAATAGTGAGTTCTTCATAAGACTCCATTTTGCTCACGGAACTCAGTGCTATGTCAGTCAAACAGTGCAGAGGCTGCTGGCACTCTTGACATTCTGACCCAGATAATTCTTTGTTGTGAAGCATCATCCTGTGCATTGCAGGTTTGTTTAATAGCATTTGTGGCCTCTACCCAGTAGATGCCAGCAGCACCCTTCCTCCCAGCTGTGACCAAAAAGATACCTGCAAACACTGGCAAATATCAGGGATGAGCCACATGTGATCCCTGCTTGGAACCATCATTTTAGAGAAACACATCAGAGAAGAAGAGTGAACACAGACAGGAGACCACATCACATCATGATCTCTCTTTAGTAACTGTAGACTTATGATATACTTATGCCCAAGTACATCAACAGCCTTGAGGCTACCAGTATATCACCATTTTAAGGTCAAATGTCCTAAATTGAAATTGAGGTCAAGGAAGAGAAGTTCTAATGCACCAACTGAGGGGGACACCGCAATGGCTCAACTACCTAATCCTCTGCCTGCCAGCACCAGCATCTAATATGGGTGCTAGTCCTGGTCCCCAGCTGCTCCACTTCCTATCCAGCTCCCTGCTTGTGGCCTGGGAAAGCAGTCAAGGACTGCTCAAAGCCTTGGGACCCTGCACCCATGTGAGAGACTGGAAGTTCCTGGCTCCTGGCTCAGCACTGGCTCAACTCCAGCCTTTGTGGCTACTTGGGGAGTGGGCCAGAGGATGAAACAGCTTTCTCTCCATCTCTCCTTCTCTCTGACTTTCCAATAAAAATAAATAAATCTTTAAAAAAATTTTTAAAAAAGAAAACTCACAAGAACAGTAAGGAAACTATTCTTACTAATCTTTCTTCTAACTTCTATTTAGAAGAGCATCAAGGTCAAGTTTCTGTCAATTACCTAGCATGACACCAAAAGCTCTGAAAAATATTTGAGTACCTACTATGTGTCAGCTGCATATGTAAGAGCTAAAGAGTCAGATATTAACCGCTTGTACAGAACTGAGAAATCACTTTAAAAATAAATTTAAGAGGTAAATCTTTGTGATCTTGAATTTGGCTAAAAATTCTTACATGTTACACCAAAAGCAGGAGCAACAACAACAACAACAAAGTCAACTGGATTTCATCAAACTAAAAAAAAAAATTGAAATTTTTGTACTTCAAACACCATCCAGAAAGTCAAAACAACCCATAGGAGAAAATATTAGCAAATCATACATCTGATAAGGGACTTATATCCAAAATATATAAAGGAGTCTTAACAACTTAATCATTAAAACAATAAAAAAAGGAAACGAATAGACATCTCTTCATAAAGATAAGCAAATGATTAAAAAGCACATTTTTAAAAAAAGCAATGCAAATAATGCTCAACATCATTACTCATCAGGGAAATTCAGATCAATCACAATGAGATACCACTTCACATTTCCCAGGGCTGCTACAATCCAAAAGTCAGATAATAACTAATGTCGACAAGGATGTGGCGAAGTTGGAACTGCAGAGGAGAATGTAAAATGATGCGGCTCTTTTGGAAACCAGCCTGACACTCCCAAGCATATAGCTAAGAAAAATGAAGACATATTCACATGAAAACTTACGCATGAATGTTTACAGCACCATTATACAGAATAGCCAAAAGGCCCAATCAACCCAAATGTTCACCCACAGGCAAATGAATAAACAAAATGTGATAGTCATAAAAAAGGAATGTTACTCGACCATAAAAAGGAACAAAATACTTATACATGCCAAAACATGAGTGAATCCTGAAAATGGTGTACTGCTTGAGAGAAAGCAGTGACAAAAGGCTAAATATTATATGATCACATATAAATACATATTAAGCATATATATGATGTCCAGAATGGCAAAATCTATAGAGATGTGAGGCAGATCAGTGGTTGCTTAGGGTGGGGGGTATGTAAGAAATTGCTTGGTGAAGAGGAGTGAAATGACAAAGAAATAAGGCTTCTTGAGTTGGTGAAATATTCTAAGACTGACTGCAGCAATGGCTGCATACATCTATGAACCTGCTCAGATACATTCCATTTGTAATATACTAGACCCCACTGAATTGTATATTTCAAATCAGTGGCTTTCCAGTGCAATACATCTTAATAGAGCAGATTAAAAAAAAATCAGCATTGAAGGCACAATGGGTAATAGAGCCTGTGGACTATGGTTTACAAATGAAAGCATCTTGAATAAAGCACTTCCAAATCTAAGCAGATCTCCTTCTTTTGCTGGTGAATGCCACTGATACTATTGCAAATGCTCCAGGTAAACATGGTGCTTTAGACTATGAATATCTTGAAAGCAGAAAAAAAAAAAAATTTAAGTGCAGGCTTCAAGGAACTTGCCGAGGACCTTCAAAGCCTTGATTGAGATGTATTAGGGATCATTAAGTAATTAGACTCCTGGGGAGAAGGGGCTTTAGCAAGGAGAGTTAGGAGCTGGCAGGAAAACCGAAGCTTGCAACAGCTGCTTTTTACCAAACCTGCAGTGAGGTTGAACAAACAACCTTCCTTTAGTTTTCCGTGAGTTAAAACGACGCCCCCCCCCCATGATTTCCATCAGTAACGAATGAGAAATCAAGTAAACAGTAAAGAGCCAAACAAAATGGGATTTAAGGAAATAATTTCAAAGCCAAATGTTTCCAGGAATGGCTACTGGGAAGTTTCGACAACAGCAGGCGTTATTGCTTTTTTTTTTTTTCAGGAAAAACATAAAATGATATGATCCGTGCACAGCTCACAATTCTACCACTGAGAAATTTCAACCTGTGTGGTTTTCAATCTAGAGTCCGAGTGTGCGTTAACCTTATACAATTTACTGTTTCAATGTATCCGTTCCATTTTATTGTAGAGCACCTGACACGTCGGGTCCCGGGAGCCCACACTTTTCGCCAAGGAAATGCCCAGGGGGTAGTGGAGATTTTCATCTTCTTTTTCTTCTTCTAATTCTGAATAAATCTACCCTGGCCGTTGCAAACAGCGCAGTCTACCATCAAGCAGAGCCTTGGTACCTCTTATAGCACTGTGCTCCACTTTCAAAGCAAAATTGGGGCTAATGGGGAGGGGGGGGAGAAAAACAACCAAAGCAGGCAGTGGCTTTGCCTATGGAGCTTCAGGTTTCAAAATGACTGCCTTGGAATCTGAAACGATCCAGATCGCAGAAGAAGAGGGGTCCGCCGCAGGGATAGCTCGCTGCGGGGTGGCTGTGGTTTAGTGTGGGAATGAGAAATCAGATGGGGGTCGTCTACAGGGAAAGGAAAAGCACGGGGGTCTTTTAGCAGCACCCAACGCTCCAAGGGCACCACTGCAGTATCAGCACAGGACCGATCCAACGAATTGCCAAACAGGATGAGGTAAGCCTCGAGCCCCCTCCTCCCGCCTCCTCCTCCCGCGCACAGAAGGGCTCATCTCTTGGCGAGGTGCACCGCGCAGCCCCCCACGGCCCTGGCTGAGGGACTGACGTCACCCTTCTGCATCGAGCCTCTTCGGCCGGTGGCAGCACTGGCTAGATGGGGAATAGAGTTGGGGTGCTATCGCTGTCGCCAAGTGGGCGGCAGGGGGGGTCCTACCCCGGTCTGCTGTGCAGGGACTTCACCCTATGACAGAAAAACCAGGCGGGTAGTCGAAGGGCTGGAAAGGGTAGAAAAAGGGTCCTTACGACTCATCTCCTGGATCGCCGGGAAAGCTCAGATATGCCCCCGACTTATGTAAGACCCTCTCCTCCCAGTGCGCCTCCACGCGGTGACGGCGCCGGCTCCCCAATATTGCTTCTGGGGGACTCTGGTCAACCTTGCCCAACCTGGGAGGCAGAGGGGCTTCTGGCGGCTCCCCGAGGGGTCGGGAATCACTGCGAATCTGGGCTCAAAGCCCGAGTTCCCGCCTCCGCTCCTAATCGTCCACAGGTTAGCGACGTCGCGAATGGACCGGCAAGGTAAGCTAGCAGGGGTGCTGAGAGAAAAACAGACGAATAAACCAGCAACTTTCCCCCCGGGACTGACCCTATCCCGCCAGTTTAAAAAGAAATCGATGGATTGCAATTTTACAATTTTTTTTTTTTGAAAGCTTGACAACCTGCAGTCACCGCCACTAAGCAGCCCCCTTGCAGACTTCGTCTGGCCGGGGCCAGGGTCCCAGCACCCACGACCCGCACCCTGCCATCCCAGTCCCAACCCAGCACCCCGGGCCCGGGAGCCGAGATTTGATTTTTTTTTTTTTTTTCTCCTCAGCACCGCACCTTTTTTTCTAAAAGCATCAGCACGAGGACTGATGAAAGGCGACCCGGCCACTGGCCAGGCGTGAGCACTCACCCAGAAGACGAAGGAGTAGATGATGAGGAGGGTTTTGAGACAGGTTATCACAGGTTTGGTCTCCATTCTCCTCGATGCCATACTACAGAGCTCCGGCGGCGGCGGCGGGCGGCGGGCGGGCGCGCGGGAGGGGGAGGAGGCGGGGCGGGGCGGGAGCGCGTGCAGCGAGAGGCCGCGTGTGCGCGCAGGCGAGGCGGTGCGTGTGTGCGAGCGCGCACTCCGCGGGAGCGCCTTCAAGAGCGCGGCCGAGGGACTGCGCATGCTTAGAAGGTCGCTCCCGCCTGCAATCCCGCGCAGGCTCAGAGAACCCTAAGACACCAAAGGCTGGGTCAGAGGTTAGGCGAACTTTGTTCAGCCCGCCAAGTTGTTTAAGTTTGTGGTTTGTATGCGGTAGGGGCACCTGGCTACGTGAGGTTTATGAGTGTCTCCACACAGTCAGCCCCGAATCAGTCTCGCATACCTGGCGAGCGTTCTCAAATGGCTTCTGTCTGTAGTCACAGCCTTGGCAACAAGCGGTCCTCTTGCCCAGGTAGAGACCATGACAGGTGGCCAGACATACAGCTCGAGAGGTCAGAAACCCGGGAGCTCAGAGACCCCAAATCCTCATCACCAAAGGCTCCCCAGGAGCTCCTTTTTTTTTTTTTTCAATGCCTTAAATTTGGAAATGGTGAGGCCAAGTGCCAAGAAAGATCTACATGAGGCATCGTTCCTCACGCATGTGAGATGTTTAAAAGATAATTTAAAACTTTAACATGGTCACTCTTACAGACCAGCTCACATTCATGAGAGTTGTATCAAGCAAGTGATATACACAAATATACACAAATATACACAAATATATTCCAGTCCCAGTTATCTACACAAGAGAAATGAAAACACACACAAACTTGCATGTAAAAGTTTTATAGCACCATTACTCCAAATAGGCAAAAAGTGGAAGCAAGTCATATTTGCACGATGTAAAATTATTGAGCCACAGAAGGGAATGAAGTACTGACATATGCTACAATGAATGAATGTTTGACAAGGGTTAAATGAAATAACTGGACTCAAAGTCACATAGTGAATGATCCACTTTAGAGAAAACATCTAGAAAAGCCAGATCCCTGGAGACAGAAAATTGCTTTGTGGTTGAAAAGGAGATATGAGGAATGACTACTAAAGTGTAGAGACGATCTATTGGGAGTGCTAAGACTGTTCTGGAATGAGTGATGATGTGAATATACTAAAACCCACTGAATTGTGCACTTTGAAAGGATGACTTTTTATCACATGTGAATCACATTGCAATAAAAAGAATGTACAATCAATATTTCCCATAGCTGCTTCCTAAAAGAACACGATGTAGGTATTTTCAGAGATTTTTTTTCTTGATTCCTGACAGGATCTGTAATCAAAAAGAGAAACATTGTTACAGGTTAACTCAACGGCAGATGATGCTAAGGAAACCTGATGGATACAGCTGTAAAAGGAGGAGGGCAGAGTTTGCTTCCACTGGGACCAGGTGGGATGCCCAGGTGCAGCCACCCTGAGGCTGTTTGCCCTTCCCCTAATCTCCTTTACAAAGGCCCTCCCCCACTCCTTCCAAGCTCTTCTTCACCTGTATGTATCCCGCTCCTTTGAGTCTGTATTTCTGCTGCAGGGAAGTGAAGCCCCTGACCATGGTTTGCTGAAATAAAGGCCGTCTAAATTCTTTTTAAATTTTCGGCTGAGTTATTCTTTCCCTGGTGATCGGCGAATCTAACATCTTGACGAACAGCGGATCTCACAACACCTTGTTTGAAAGAGTGAAAAACAGAATCAATGAAGTTTAGGAAAGGCCTGCCAAGGTCAGTTGTTTCAAGGATAATAATTACCTCCAACAAGTTATAAATGGCCCCAGGTCAGTGAGGTCATTGTACAATCAGGATACAAATATGAGGAAGAGAAGAACAAGGTTAAGGAAATTATCAATCCTAGCAAAGGGGTATGTGGGCACAGAGGAATATATTTGCAGCTAACAAAAGATAAGAGACTGATTCAACAATACCTGTTATAAAAGAAGACTGCACGGTGATTCTCAGTGTTAGTTGCTCATTCGCATCACCTGCAGAGCTTTAAAACCTCTGAGTATCCGGACCTAATCCCAGCTATTGTGAGTCATGTGATGTGGGGTGAGGGGTCAGCGGTTTCTAAAGCTTTTCAGGTGATTCTAATATGAAGCACGAATTGAGAGTCACTACCTCTACCACAATGAGCTGAAATCCAACTTGAGAAAAGAGCTTTCTCCTTACTTTTCCAGTCCTGGGGCGATTCCTATGGTGGTTGCAGCAGAGAAAGTACACTGAGGACTTCAAGCTCAAGGGTGTCCTTTGCTCAAGTAGTCTTGGTCATGTACGGTTACTGTGTAAAGGAGCCAGAAGTGCCAATGTTCAGCCCTGCAGGGGCATGACAAAGAATCATAGATAACTCAGTGATTTAACATGATATTCACATAAGATATTCTTACGGAGAATTGATGCAAGGACCGGAGGCAACCTCAGTTCTGGCTAGACTCTATGCTTGGTATATGCTCGCAATGAAAGAACCTCAACTGAACTTAACTGTGGCAATGTAGCAAGGTGCAGGAATCCAACATGGGGGACGGTTTGGGGAGGGGTAAGGGGGAATCCCAGTGCCTAAAAAACTGTCACATAATGCAATGTAATAAAAAATAAATAAATAAAATGAAATTTTTTAAAAAAACGGAATTTTCTTTTTTTTAATTGTTATTAACATTGCACTGGGGATTCCCCCCACCCCTCCCATAACCCTCTCCCCATAGTGGATTCCTCCACCTTGCTGCATAACCACAGTTCAAGTTCAGTTGAGATTCCTTCATTGCAAGCATATACCTAGCATAAAGTCCAGCGTCTTATTGTCCGGTCAAGTTCAGTGGCCTCTTGGGGAGACCTTCTCTGGTCTGAAGGTAGAGCTAACAGAGTAAACGGAATTTTCATGAAGGCAGATCAGTGAGCAAAAACGGGATTTTGTTAAATCAGAAGAAGCTCCTGCCACAGTGGTGAGGAAGGAGGTTTACAAGAGAAAAAGACCTGAAAAGCTGGTTGGAGTGGAGTCTTTTAAGCACAGTTTGGGGGAGGGGGCTGGAACAATTGCTCCTTATCAGACAGTTGGGACAAAACTCACCAAGGGACCGGAATGGTAATTTTGTCTAGCTTGCTCAAAACAAAGCCATCAGAAGGGGATGATGGTAGCTTCTTTTTTTCTGTTCTTATCATAAAATCGGAAATACAAAGGAATAGAGTTTGACGCTTTGATCTGGCTAAATGTAGCTTTGGGAAAGACTTTGCAATCTCCGAGTTCCTTGCTTCCTTGTTAGTTTGTGATAAAACTGGAAATTCAGGGAAGTGGGATTCACATTCCAAAAACTGCCTCTCTGCTGTCATTCTTGTAGTAAAACTAGAAACTCGAGTGGACACCTACTTCATTTCAGTGTTGCTAAATGCAAGTCTTGGGGAAAAAATAAGCCTCTTGTGTACTTTCAAAAGGATTTCCTCTTTTTAAATTTCATCAGGGAACTAACTAACCCTATCTCCCTGGTAGCCCGTTAAATTTCATGTAATATGATACCCATTCAACCTAAGGGACCTCACCATTTCACAGTTTTCTGGGTGCGTATTAGAGCTATTTCTCAAAAGTATGAGAGATTTTAGCCAAAAATTAAACTATATATTTTCATGTAAAAATATATACATTCAGCACTATAATTCATAGGTAAATTATGATAGCTCATATCTATATCGTTACTAAAATTGTGATCTGTGATGGAAGATGACAAATTGTCCCAGTTTTCCCGTGGCTGAGAGGTTCCCCCAAATTCAGAGGTTCCCCCCACATTCAGAATTTTCATTGCTAGAACCGGGGAACTCTTGGGAGGCACAGGTCAAGTTGGACACCTTATCCCTAAAGTAACAGTACTGACCTCCACTATGGAGTTAGCTTGTTGAAAATGCAGAACCTTATCCCCTACCCCACACTCCCTTTCATAAGATCCCCACTAGATTCAATGCATGGCAATTTGTCTGTCCTGGATTGACTTGTATACCCCCCAAAAATATGTTGAAGTACTAATTCCGGTACCTCGGTGTGTGACCTCATTTGGAACCAGGGTTGGTGCAGATGTAATTATTTAAGTTAAAATGAGGTCATGCTGAAGTAGTGTGGGCCCTTAGTCCAATCTGACTCTAGCCCTTGAAAGATCACCTCCAGAGGGTGTTGGCAATTTAATTCCTGGCTACTTACTCCAGAACTATATGAGATCACATTTGTGTTATCTTAAGCCATGACATTTGTAGTAGTTGTTACAGCAGCCACAGTAAACTAACACATGCCTAAGATTCATGAATCTACATTCGTCACAATATAACTAGAGCTAACATATTTCCTAGCAATGGCACTCCAAGCTGTTTACACAGAAGAATTGAAATCATTGTTTACAGCAATATCCACAGCAATTCCATGGACAATGACCAAAGGGTGCATGCCATCAAAATAATTGTGCATCAGGTGACGAATGGATATACAAAGTGCTCTGTTGCCATGCAATGGAGGATTACACAGCTAAATAAAGTAATGATGTGCCAGCACCTGTTACATTATGCTAAGTGAAGGAAGCCAGACACAAAGGTCACATGTTGTATGATTCCAACTGATATGCACTCTCCTGAATTGGCAAATCTGTAGAGACTAACGAAAGATTAATAATTCCTGGGGGAGAGAAGTCATTGGTTAATGACTATAGGGTGTCCTCTTAGAGAAATGAATACATTCTTCAGCTAGGTAGTGTGAGAGGAGTCAGACTGGGTAGTAGGCAGTTAGGGTATTCTGGGTCTCCAAGTCATCATTATTTTCTCAAATATAAAGGGGTATTTTCCCCACCCTGTCTTGAATTCACCAGAGCACGTCTCTCCTGAGATAAGTGCATATCTTAACTTATCAGGAATGCTTCCCCAAGAGACCAGGGCGACATTAACATATCAATTCCCCACCTGAAGCCTCAGCCCCATTCTGTCTCCAGCCAGTGCCATGGGGGAGGGCTTCACACTGGCCTCTTTATCATTAGAAAGGGACCAAGGAAGT